CTCCTGCACAAATACTCTTTTGGAATGTATGGCTATCTTAGCCAAGCTTTGTGTTAAATAGCATATCAGACTGGGAACTCTAGAACAAGTTAGATGGTTGTCCGTCTGAGAAAACCAGGTGCCGTGAATCTGGATGCGTGGGTGTTGTAGTGGATAAAGGCTCAGAATTGTTAATCGGCGAGCCGTGTTCTAATTCCACTTGCCTTTAGGAAAGATATTAATCCACCTTTTCTCCCCCTCCCAACTATAGGTTGATTAGTAAGACTTGTGTCACTAAACTATTATAAAATAAATCTGCGTACAAAATAGATAAATTTCAGCATTAAATAATCATTGCATTATTTACATTATTCGAACTGTTATCCTCATCTTCATTGCCGTATTCACAACGTTTCAGCAGTTTTATGCTCCGTCCTTCTTCAGGTGATTGGAATTTCGAACCGAACCCTTTATTTCATCCACCGGGGTAGATTGTTCTAGTTCCACGTGCCATGCTTCTTCCGGATTTCTCAGTTATTTCTCTTTAACTCAACTCTCCAAGTTTTTGGTTCACCACTGTGGTCTAGTATTGAACTCACAACTCTTTGGGTGTAGTCACTGGGCCGTCTCCTTGACGCCGGAGCGTACAACGGCCGAAACGTTGTGCAAGTGACAATGAAGACGAGGATAACAGTCCGAGTAATGTAAATAATGCAAGTAATCATAATACCTCATCTCAGCGATATAGACAGCTATGCTCATTTCAGGTGATTGGACACAGATGTGAGTTCAATACCAGGTCATAGTAATTGTGAAACATCAGGAAGAGTCGTGGCACGTGGAACTAGAACAATCATCAACCCTAATGGACGAAATAATTCTAGATTCAATCACCTGAAGGCCGGAGCGTACAACGACCGAAACTTTGTGAATATGGCAATGAAGATGAGGATAACAATCAAATAATGTAAATAATGCAAGTAATCATAATAGCTCATCTCAGAGATATACACATATATTAAATAATCTATAGTGATTGATATGCTGTATAAACAAAAAAAAAGTGCCCCTCGTCATAGTTGCAGTATAAATTTCAGATTGGATCCGTGAGTATTGAAAAAACGTGAATGTGCCAGAGGAGACGGGCGTGCTCAGAAACGAGCAACTATACTGAATATGAGAAAGTAGTGTGCCTTCAAATCGAAAGATTTCTGACCTTAGGATCAAGGTGACAAACATGCTCACAGCATTTGTTTTTGACATATGGCAACCTTTTTTTTATATATATAGAAACAGGGGTCTGCACATTAGTCGCTGTGTTGTAAATCTAGCTATATTGTGTGGATAAAGGCATTAGTTAGATCCAGTGACAGGACCCAAAGAGTGTGAGTTCAATACCCGGTAAAGGCAGTGAAGAACTTGGAGCGGGGAATTAACAGGCGATAACTGGTAACTGACACCCATTAAACATGGCACGTGGAACTAGAACAGTCTACCCAAGTGAGCGAAATAAAGGTTTTTTTCTACGTTCCAACCACCTGAAGAAGGCCGGAGCGTACAACGGCCGAAACATTGTAATAAACATGGCGACAAAGATATAGGACAATAGTCCGAATAATGTAAGTAGTGTACATAATACCTCATCTCAGAAATATAGACAGATTAGGTTTCATTGACGTATTTTTGTAAAGAGGGTTTTTGTCGAGGATCAAATGTATTGCTGGTATTTTTTTTTTTTTTTTTTTACAAAAAGTGATTGTTATGTTTACTGTAAATATCTATTTTTATACTTTCATAGTGTTTTGCCTCCAGTTTAGGTTTTAACTATTTGTCCTAAGCTTGGACCTGGGAACAACAGCAATTAAGTGGTGGTTCCGCACTCTTCAAAACATCGCACTGAGGCCTTGCTGCCCGATGTATTTTATCGCCATACAAGGGATGCCATGTATTAGGAAAAAAATCAAAAAATGAAAGTCATCAAATAGCCTAAAAGGCCTGTCGATATTACGACTGAAATACTGTGAATATTGTCTCGGTCTGCAAATTATGTGAAGAGTTAATCTTTATCGACTGATGTGTTTGAAATACTTGGAATTCAATTTAATATATTTTTATGTCTGTATGCAGAATAATTGAATTTACAATTAGTAATGGAAAATGATAATATGTTATGTTTAGGCTGTTCAGCATAGAGAATTTGACTGGCCTGTAAAATAAACCTGAGTGCAATGCTGCAACGTTAGAAAAACTTTTTATCTTATAAAACTGGATAGAAAATCAGTCGTAATAGTAATATCAGCCTAATAAGGAAAATGCAGTAGTTGTAGTAATATCAGCCTAATAAGGAAAATGCAGTAGTTGTAGTAATATCAGCCTAATAAGGAAAATGCAGTAGTTGTAGTAATATCAGCCTAACAAGGAAAATGCAGTAGTTGTAGTAATATGTAGTAATATATGTATGCCTTCAATTGAAAATTTATTGTTGGTCATTTTGCTATAAATCAGTATTGTTCGTAATTTTTATAGAAAATGTATTGTTTACATTATTGCTATAAAAATGTACTTTTTTAATTTCATCGAGTTTGGCTTTTGTTTGGGGATTTATCCATAACTGAGATCCCAACACGTGCTACTACACCGGGTCAGGGTGGATTGAGACACAACAACAATTAAGAGGTGGTTACACGCTATTCAAAACCTCCACTCTCCCGGCCAGAGGCCTTGCTACTGGATGTTGTTCATCGCATACCTAGGACTATTCAGGGATTCTCTTAGATGGTCTGGGTGAATATATAGCAGTTTCCCCCCCCCAATCAGAGACAACTCTTTCACCTATCAACTCTATCCATTTCTACATCACGACCCGCGGCTGGCAGCTCTAACGGGTGGCATCGTAAATAATCCTACGGTCAATTTTCACCCGGTAACAGGCATTCTGGCTCTTTAGTCTCAACTGTAAGCCTGAGACCGGAAGTCCTCAACGTTTGGTTTGTTGTCACCTGTTTCAAAAAGTGTACTATTTTATTCTCTTTTGGTCAAGTGGGTAGTTGATTTTGAAGTCTCTGATTTCATAGGCTTAATCGCCGTTCATAAAGCACAAAATACTAGTGAAATAAAATCATGCATTTCTCTGTGAATGTCCAGATGATAATGTCACATCTACAGAATATCCCTTAAAGATGTTTAAGATATTTTGCGGGTGGTATATTTATTTACATTTTCTGGGAGTGGAGATCTAGAAATAATTTCCTTTTTTCTTAACAATGCAAGGCAAGATACTTACTCTAGTTTTTCGGGCCAATGATGTATCAGAGTGACGTCATCATAACGGAAATGTGGTGCTGTTAGTACCCATCTCGACAGTCAATAAAGAAAGAAATGGCGTACATAGAATTGGCATCTCTCTATATTTCTGAGATGAGGTTTTTGTACATTATTTACATTATTCGGACTATTGTCCTCATCTTTGTCGCCATATTTATTACAACGTTTCGGCCTTTCAGTATCTGCCTATATTTCTGAGATGAGGTTTTTGTACATTATTTACATTATTCGGACTATTGTCCTCATCTTTGTCGCCATATTTATTACAACGTTTCGGCCTTTCAGTATCTGCCTATATTTCTGAGATGGGGTTTTTGTACATTATTTACATTATTCGGACTATTGTCCTCATCTTTGTCGCCATATTTATTACAACGTTTCGGCCTTTCTGTATCTGCCTATATTTCTGAGATGAGGTATTATGTACATTATTTACATTATTCGGACTATTGTCCTATTCTTTGTCGCCATATTTATTACAACGTTTCGTTGCACGCTCCGGCCTTCTTCAGGTGGTTGGAATGTCGAACTGAACCCTTTATTTCACTCACTGGGGTTGACTGTTCTAGATCCACGTGCCATGTTTATTGGATGTCAGTTATCAATTATCTCCTGTTAATTTTCCCTCTGAAATTTCTCCACTACCTTAATCGGATATTGAACCCCACTGTGCCATGTGTCCTCAAGGATAAATGCGTTGGTTAGATCCAGTGACAGGACCCAAAGAGTGTGAGTTCAATACCCGGTTAAATTTAAAAACATTCAGAAGAAAATGAACAAGAGATAACTGATAACTGACATCCATTAAACATGGCACGTGGAACTAGAACAGTCTACCACAGTGAGCGAAATAAAGGGTTCAGTTCGACATTTGAATAGCATACAACGGCCGAAACGTTGTAATAGATATGGCGACAAAGATGAGGACAATAGTCCGAATAATGTAAATAATGTATAATTGGCAGCAAAAATTTTTCAATTCCTTAAATACTTCCCTTCTGGGGCGCCCCAATATCAGAGATTGACTTTATCCCTTGAAGTGGGAGAGATACTGACTGGGAAAACAGCCCAATCACGCAACGGGACTTCAATTTGTCCCTCCGTTCTCAAAAGGTGTAGCGCAATAAACGTAATTATGACATCACGGTGTTTATTAAAATCTTTATTAGAAATAATTATTAAAATTCATTTGACAGAGCATAGCCTGTGATCTGATTGTTCTGATTTTAGTGACAAGTGTTGTTGGCGGAGAGATGTGCTCTCTGGGTGCTTTCTAACGGTAAACGGCATTAGTACAGGTGCATCACCGATTTATGCGGCAACTGATTGTCCGGCTCCTCTTTTAATCCGAACAAAATTACGGGCAAGCATTTGAATCTCGCCCGATTCCCAGACAAATTCAGCAAGTGACTTTGTGTATAGAACACGATCACTTAATTGATTATACTGGTGCGTCTGGTGCCGATCAATCGATTTGGCGCAAACCTCAACGTATTCTACTTACATTTAATCCAACTTATAGCTTCCAAACAAACTGCATGTGTCCATGCTGGTGTCAAGCCTATTTTCTGAATAGTTGTGGCAAGAAAAGTTTCAAATTCTGTCACTTTGGGTGTGGCAGTACTGCAACATTCTTTGTAAGTACTGTACTTCATATTAATACATATATCTCGTTCATTTGAGTTTCAAATAGACAGTCTAGGACGATTATTACTTATTTCTTTTTCCTTTTTTTCTTTTATTTCTTTTTTTCTTTTATTTCTTTTTTTATTTCTTTTTTTCTTTTGTTTGTTTTTTCTTTTTATCCATTTTTCTTTTATCCTTTTATTCATTTTCTCTTTTGCTCTTTTCCTTTATTTTCTTTTTTCTTTTTCGTCTTTTTTCTCCTTTGTCTTTTTTCTATTTTTTCTTTTTCGTCTTTTTTCTCTTTTCTTTTCCGTCTTTTTTTTTTCTCTTTTCTTTTCCGTCTTTTTTTTTTCTCTTTTTTCTTTTTCCTCTTTTCATTTTTTTTTCGTCTTTTTTTGCCTTTTCTTTTTCGTCTTTTTTTCTCTTTTCATTTTCCTCTTTTTTTTCTCTTTTTTTTCTTTTCCGTCTTTTTTTTCTCTTTTTTTCTTTTCAAATCTTTTTTCTCTTTTTCTTTTTTTCTTTTTCCTTTTTTTCTTTTTCGTCTTTTTTTTCCTTTTCGTCTTTTTTTTCTTTTTCGTCTTTTTTTTCCTTTTTCTTTTTCGTCTTTTCCCTTTTCTTTTTTTTTGCTTTTTTTTTCTTTTCTTTTCTCTTTTTTTTTCCGTCTTTTTTTTTTTTTTTCTCTCCTTTTTTTTTTTTTTTTTTTCTTTTCCTCTTTTCTCTTCTTTTTTCTTTTCTTTTTCTTTCTTTTTTTTTTTTCTTCCTTTTTTTTTTTTTTTTTCCTCTTTTTTCCCTTTTCTTTTTCGTCTTTTTATCCCTTTTCTTTTTCGTCTTTTTTTCCCTTTTGTTTTTCGTCTTTTTTTCTCTTTTCTTTTTCTCTTTTTTTCTTTTCCGTTTTTTTTTCTTTTCCGTCTTTTTTTCTCTTTTTTCTTTTCCGTCTTTTTTTCTCTTTTTTTCTTTTCCGTCTTTTTTTTCTCTCTTTTTTTCTTTTCCGTCTTTTTTTTCTCTTTTTTCTATTTCCTCTTTTCTTTTTTTCCCTTTTCATTTTCGTCTTTTTTCCTCTCTTTTTCTCCTCGTTTTTTCCTCTTTTTTTCCGAGAAAATTTCAGCCTGCATATTCTTATTCCAACCACCTATTTTATTAAATATGCAAGAAACTTATTCCTACCCCTTAATTTAGGGTACGATCATTTTGGGATAAAGCGTTTTATTACTGGAAATTATAGTTTTAAAATATTTTAAATATTCCAGCCACCATTTTATTCCAACTATTCCGTTTATTTGAAACTTAAGTGTATATACTATCCCATTTATATTAAGGTACTTTGTTCAGTAATTTAATTCAAATTTGCATTTAATGATAACTTAATGTAAGTTCATAATATTCGATGGTGCTGCAGAGATACGAGGGGTGCATAATTCGTGTATCAGAGATCTTTTGTTGAATTGTTATTACATGAATTATGCTCATCTGGCAAAATGGATACTCCGGCACTTTTCTGGAATCAATGATGCCGGAAATTCGATGGTGTATATTTCATGTTATTTGAAAAATGTGCGTGGCGTCAATATGTTACCGACACTGCAATAGTCATTATAAAATAGTTTATTTTCATTTTTTGTTATTCCGACTTTTCTTTTTCAATTTTTTCAGTTGTCTACTTCTTCTTCTTTGTCTTCTCTTTCTTAATTGTCGTCGTGGTCTTTGAATTTTTCTTCTCGTTTTAGAATTCGTAGTTGTCGTCTCATCATTATTCTTCTTAGCTTCTTAATCGTCTTTTTCATCTTGGCTATTTTCTTCTTAAGCGTCATTTTCTCGAGCCCTTTTCTTTTCAGTTGTCTTCTTTTTCGACATCTTTTTAGTCTTCTAAGTTGTCTTCTTCTTCTTCTTCTCCTCACTTGTCTTCTTTTCTTCTTAAGCTTCTTTTAGTCGTCGTCTTCTAAGTATTCCTCTTATTAGTTGCATTTTCAGTCTTTTTAGTTTTCTTCTTCTCAGTCTTCTTTTTAGCCGTCTTTTTAACCGTTGCCTTCTCGGTTTTCTTCTGCTTACTCGTATTTTTAGTCTTCTTAGTCATCAGCTTAATCATCTTCTAAGTTATCTTCTTGGTTGTCGTCTTCCTCGATCATTATATTCATCTCAGGCTTCTTCATATTTTTAGTCTTCGTCTTCGTCTTCGTCTTCTTCGTCTTCGTCGTCTTCTCCGACTCCGTCTTCTCCGCCTTCGTCTTCTTCGTCTTCAGTCTTCTCCTTCTCCGTCTTCTCAGTCTTTAGTCTTCTCCGTCTTCGTCTTCTCCTTCTTCGTCTTCTCCGTCTCCGTCTTCGTCTTCGTCTTCGTCTTCGTCTTCGTCTTCTTCTCCGTCTTCTCCGTCTCCGTCTTTGTCTTCGTCTTCTCCGTCTTCTTCTTCGTCTTCTCCGTCTTCTTCTTCATCTTCTCCGTCTCCGTCTTTAGCCTTCGTCGTCTTCGTTTCCTTCGTCTTCGTCTTCGTCTTCACCTTCGTCTTCGTCTTCTCCTTCGTCTTCTCCTTCGTCTTCGTCTACGTCTTCGTCTTCTCCGTCTCCGTCTACGTCTTCGTCTTCGTCTTCTCCGTCTCTGTCTTCGTCTTCTCCGTCTTCGTCTTCTCCGGTCTTCGTTGTCTTCTCCTTCTCCGTCTTCTCCGTCTCCGTTATCGTCTTCTCCGTCTCCGTCTTCTCTGTCTTCGTCTTCTCCGTCTTCGTCTTCTTCTTCTCCTTCTCCGTCTCTGTCTTTAGCCTTCACCTTCTCCGTCTTCTCCGCCTCCGTCTGCTTCTTCGTCTTCTCCGTCTTCGTCTTCTCCGTCTCCTTCTTCTCCGTCTTCGTCTTCGTCTGCTCCGTCTTCGTCTTCTCCGTCTTTAGTCTTCTCCGTCTCCGTCTCCATCTCCGTCTTTGGTCTTCTCCGTCTCCGTCTCCTTCTTCGTCTGCTCCGTCTTCGTCTTCTCCGTCTCCTTCTTCATCTTCTCCTTCTTCGTCTTCTCCTCCTTCGTCTTCTCCTTCTTCGTCTTCTCCGTCTTTAGTCTTCTTCTTCTCCGTCTCATTCTTCTCCGTCTCCTTCTTCGTCTTCTCCGTCTCCTTCTTCGTCTTCTCCGTCTCCTTCTTCGTCTTCTCCATCTTCGTCTTCTCTGTCTCCTTCTTCGTCTTCTCCGTCTCCTTCTTCGTCTTCGTCGTCTTCGTCTCCTTCGTCTTCGTCTTCTCCGTCTCCGTCTTCGTCTTCGTCTTCTCCGTCACCGTCACCGTCTTCGTCTTCGTCTTCGTCGTCTTCTCCGTCTCCGTCTTCGTCTTCGTCTTTAGCCTTTTCCTTCTCTGTCTTCGTCTTCTCCGTCTTCGTCTTCTCCTTCTCCGTCTCCGTCTTCTCCTTCTTCGTCTTCTCCGTCTCCTTCTTCTCCGTCTCCGTCTTTAGCCTTCGTCGTCTTCGTCTCCTTAGTCTTCGTCTCCTTCGTCGTCTCCGTCTCCGTCTTCGTCTTCTCCGTCTCCGTCTTCGTCTTCTCCGTCTCCGTTTTCTCCGGTCTTCGTTGTCTTCTCCGTCTCCGTCTCCGTCTCCTTCTCCGTCTTCTCCGTCACCTTCTCCTTCTCCGTCTCCTCCGTCTCCGTCTTCCCCGTCTTCGTCTCCGTCTCCGTCTTCGTCTTCTCCTTCTCCGTCTTCGTCTTTAGCCTTCTCCTTCTCCGTTTTCGTCTTCTCCGTCTTTAGTCTTCTCCGTCTTCGTCTTCTCCGCCTCTGTCTCCTTCTTCGTCTGCTCCTTCTTCGTCTTCGTCTTCTCCGTCTCCGTCTTCGTCTTCTCCGTCTTCGTCTTCTCCGGTCTTCGTTGTCTTCTCCGTCTCCTTCTCCGTCTTCTCCGTCTCCGTCTTCTTCTCCGTCTCCGTTATCGTCTTCTCCGTCTCCGTCTCCTCCGTCTCCGTCTTCCCCCTTTTCGTCTTCTCTGTCTTCGTCTTCTTCGTCTCCGTCTTCGTCTTGTCCTTCTCCGTCTTTAGTCTTCTCCGTCTCCTTCTTCGTCTTCTCCGTCTCCTTCTTCGTCTTCTCCGTCTCCTTCTTCGTCTGCTCATTCTTCGTCTTCTCCGTCTCCTTCTTCGTCTCCTCCGTCTTTAGTCTTCGTAGTCTTCGTCTCCTTAGTCTTTCGTCTCCTTAGTCTTCGTCTTCTCCGTCTCCGTCTTTAGCCTTCGTCGTCTTCGTTTCCTTCGTCTTCGTCTTCACCTTCGTCTTCGTCTTCTCCTTCGTCTTCGTCTTTTCCGTCTCCGTCTTCGTCTTCTCCGTCTCCGTTTTCTCCGGTCTTCGTCTCCTTCTCCGTCTTCTCCGTCTCCTTCTCCTTCTCCGTCTCCTCCGTCTCCGTCTTCCCCGTCTCCGTCTTCTCTGTCTTCGTCTTCTCCGTCTCCGTCTCCGTCTTCGTCTTCTCCTTCTCCGTCTTCGTCTTTAGCCTTCTCCTTCTCCGTTTTCGTCTTCTCCGTCTTTAGTCTTCTCCGTCTTCGTCTTCTCCGCCTCTGTCTCCTTCTTCGTCTTCTCCGTCTCCTTCTTCGTCTGCTCCATCTTCGTCTTCTTCGTCTTCGTCTTCTTCGTCTCCGTCTTCGTCTTCTCCGTCTCCGTCTTCTCCGGTCTTCGTTGTCTTCTCCGTCTCCTTCTCCGTCTTCTCCGTCTCCGTCTTCTTCTCCGTCTCCGTTATCGTCTTCTCCGTCTCCGTCTTCCCCCTTTTCGTCTTCTCTGTCTTCGTCTTCTCCGTCTCCGTCTTCGTCTTGTCCTTCTCCGCCTTTAGTCTTCTCCGCCTCCGTCTCCTTCTTCGTCTTCTCCGTCTCCTTCTCCTTCTTCGTCTTCTCCGTCTCTTTCTCCTTCTTCGTCTTCTCCGTCTCCTTCGTCTCCTTCTTCGTCTTCTCCGTCTTTAGTCTTCGTAGTCTTCGTCTCCTTATTCTTCGTCGTCTCCGTCTCCTTTGTAATAAATATGTCGACAAAGATGAGGACAATAGTCCGAATAATGTAAATAATTTCTTAAATAATGTACATAATACATCATCTCAGAAATATAGACAGATACTGAATGGCCGAAACGTTGTAATAAATATGGCGACAAAGATGAGGACAATAGTCCGAATAATGTAAATAATGTACATAATACTTCATCTCAGAAATATAGATAAATCGTTTTTCGCTTTTTCCCTTTTTCTCTTATTTTCATCTTGCATTCTCTCTTAGATCTCTCTCTCTTTCTCTCTAGTAGTAGATGTCTCTCTTTCTCTCTCTCTCTTCTCTCTCTCTCTCTTTCTCTCTCTTTTCTCTGATTTCTCTATGTATGCATTCTTCCAGTATGATCACTTCCATTATCTACATCAGATATAACAAACCTGATATAGGGTGACCGTTTCCTCGAATACCAGATGCTTTAAGATCGGATGTGTGTTTCCTCCTCCTCTTCTATCTTATTCATTTTATGGTTTAAATAATAATATCACCTTGTTAAAAATACATATCACCCAAAGTCTGACTTAAATTGAGAAATCAAAAAACCTCTCTCATTCCTAAACCATGGCTTTCTGACTAAAAAAGCTTTCTTGGTGTAAAAGAATTTCTCTGTGTCCCGTTTACGTTAAAATACCATCAAATTTAAAATTTTATTATTATTTTATTCTTTTCTAAGCAATTTGGACAATTTAATATTTGAAAAATTCAAGACGATGAGACCTTGTTTGACTGCTACATATTAACACAATACCACGAATTTTCCTTTTTTACTTTTTTATTAGAATGAAATAAGCAAGCAAGTCTCGAAGAATATTACTCTTATTCTTTAAATAATGGGTTTGATCCACATTAAGTCCTTCATACTTATAAAATTGAAAAAAAAACGCTAGAAATTTCTTTAAAAAAAAAAATTGAAAAAAAACGAACGCTTTTTCCATTGGAATAATGGTTAGAGAGCTATTCTTTTTGAACATTATGTAAAATAGTTAAAACTGGATTTTTCGGACTTAACGATCTGAAACATGCGGCCTTGTTTGAAAATTCTAAAAAAAAATTTTCTTTCTTCCCAAGCCTAAACGTTTAATCGCCAGAAAGAAAGACACAAAAAAATATAAGGTAGAAAAAGTATAAAAAGATATATACAAAACAATAGTGGTTTATAAGTAGATTAGCACTGCGTCTATTTCCCAAAACTTATATACTCTCTGCAGCTCAATTCCGACTCTCGCAGTTGGTTGAATTTTTGAAATGAAGCTTTTCTCATTTTATCTTCCATTGGTTTACTAACTAACAACTGATAAGTCTAAAATATCATTCTGCTATATATTTATTTTTTTATTCTTATAGTCAATTTTTCTTTATCTTTCTTTGCTTTTTATCTCCTTCTATTTTTTCAAATTTTTTTTCCACTATTCAACCTCCAGAAGAACCTTCATAAATCTTTACTTGTTTCAATCTAATCCTAAAAAATTTTATTCAGGACTTTTTATAATCATCATTATTTTATTATAATTTTTCATCATTTTCAAATAAAACATATTCCTTTTGCAATTTTCGTCCTCCTGCTTTTCCGCTATCTGTTTGTTCTTTGCACTTTTTGTTACTGCACAAAATCTCCTGTAAAAACATAGCTTTTTAGGTATCTTTTAAACGCTTTTGAACTCCCTGGTATCTTCACTCTGTTCCATTGAACCAACGTTTTATAAATTTTCGCCCGATCAATGTTTTCTTGCCTTTTATTTTCCCATTGTATGAGTTTCGGTCTCAAAAACTGCATTTTTTATATATTTCAAATATTTGTTTATTTATGTTCGTTCATATATGGCAATAAATGGCCGATTTTACCTGATTTGTGCATTTAATAACAGAAAAATAAACATATAATTATACAGATTTAACGTATAAAAACAAACCAGCATGCGTATACCATTTTTTTTATTTATATAAAAAGGATATTAGATTTTTTATAGATAT